CACCATCGCTGATCAGAGGCCAGAGAAAGTCTCCTGATTCTGAGCAGAAGAAATGAAACAAAGCAGTTTGCAAGGACATAGACAAAACCAAAGAAATCCTTATCAAGGTTTTGAAATGGTGACCTGGGGTCCGGCATGATGGCTCATGCCTGTAATCCCAGCACTTTGAGAGGCCGAGGCAGGCGGATCACCTGAGGTCAGGAGTTTGAGCCTAACCTGGCCAACATGGTGAAACCCTGTCTCTACTAAAAATGAAAAAAATTAGCCAGGTGTAGTGGCGGGCACCTGTAATCCCAGCTATTCGGGAGGCTGAGGCACGAGAATCGCTTGAACCCAGGAGGCGGAGGTTGAGTGAGCCAAGATTGTACTATTGCACTCCAGCCTGGGCCACAAGAGTAAAACTCTGTCTGAAAAAAAAAAAAGAAAAAAAGGCTAGGCACGGTGGCTCATGCCTGTAATCCCAACACTTCGGGAGGCCAAGATAGGCAGATCACTTGAGGTCAGGAGTTCATGACCAGCCTGGCCAACATGGTGAAACCCCGTCTCTACTAAAAATACAAAAATTAGCTGGGCATGGTGGTGCGTGCCTATAATCCAGCTACTGAGGAGGCTGAGGCAGGAGAATTACTTGAATCTGGGAGCAAAGGCTGCAGTGAACTGAGATCATACCACTGCACTCCAGCCTGGGTGACAGAGCAAGACTTCAACTCAAAAAAGAAAAAAGAAAGAAAAAGAAAAAGAAATGGTGACCTGGGCAAAGTTTATCCAAAGGACTTTAGTCTGAGAACAGCTTCTGAATTGTACAGTTTCTGGGGTGGTCGTAGGACAGATTCACTGGCTCTTGGTTGCTGGAGTGATTTCTCCAGTTAATTCTGATGACAAATAAGACTCTGGGATGCTAACTAGTTGCACAACCCCTCAACAGTTGGCATCCCTACCTTTCTAGAGGGACAAGTTGTGTTTAGTCACCAGAGATTCAGCAATAATAGATTTGTGATACCCTTAGACATTCGAGGCTGCTCATCTTTCCTATTCTTATTCTTTCTGTTTTTTTTTTTTTCATTTGTTTTTGTTTTCTTGAGACAGAGTCTTGCTCTGTCACCCAGGCTGGAGCGCAATGGCATGATTTCGGCTCACTGCAGTCTCCATCTCCTGAGTTCAAGTGATTCTTCTGCCTCAGCTTCCCAAGTAGCTGGGATTACAGGTACCTGCTGCCACGCCTGGCTAATTTTTGTACTTTTAGTAGAATCGGGGTTTCACCATGTTGGCCAGGCTGGTCTTGAAAACCTGGTATCAGGTGATCCACCCACCTCGGCCTCCCAAAGTGTTGGGATTACAGGCCTGTGTCACTGAGCCCGACCTACATCCAACCTTTTCATATCGACTTTACCTCTTTTTTTCTTGTTTTGAGACAGACTTTTGCTCTTGTTGCCCAGGCTGGAGTGCAATGGCGCGATCTCTGCTCACCGAATCCTCCACCTCCTGGGATAAAACAATTCTCCCGCCTCAGCCTCTCAAGTAGCTGGGATTACAGGCATGCGCCACCATGCGTAGCTAATTTTGTATTTTTAGTAGAGATGAGGTTTCTCCACGTTGGTCAGGTTGGTCTCAAACTCCCAACGTCAGGTGATCTACCCACCTCAGCCTCCCAAAGTGCTGGGATTACAGGCAGGAACCACAGTGCCCAGCGTTTTTTTTTTGAGACAGAAATCTTGCTTTCTCACCCAGGCTGGAGTGCAATGGTGCGATCTGGGCTCACTGCAACCTCCGCCTCCTGGGTTCAAGTGATTCTCCTGCCTCAGCTTCCCAAGTAGCTGGTATTACAGGCACCTGCCATCACACCCAGCTAATTTTTGTATTTTTGTAGAGACAGGTTTCACCATGTTGGCCAGGCTGGTCTTGAAGTCCTGACCTCAGGTGATCCACCCACCTTGGCCTCCCAAAAGGCTGGGATTACAGGTGTGAGTTACCGTACCCAGCCCAACTTTGCCTCTTATAGACAAACAACATTCAAAATACTAGACAAGAAGACACCACAGGAATGAGTGTAGAAGGACAGAAAACAATTGCACCAAGGACAAAATAAAAATCTGATCAGATAACTAAAAATCCAGGGTGGGGACCTTATTACAGGAGTGAAAAAATTGAAAAAAATAAACCCAATGTTTAGCAGGGTGTGGTGGCTCACACCTATAATCCCAGCACTTTGGGAAACCAACATGGGAGGACCATGTTGAGCTCAGGAGTTTGAGACCAGCCTGGGCAACATGAAGAAACCTCATCTCTACCAAAAAAAAAATAAATAAATAACTGACATTGGTTAATTTTAGTGTCAGCTACTCAGGAGGCTGAGGCTGGAGAATCACTGGAGCTGGGAAGCAGAGGTTGCAGTGAGCTGAGATGATACTACTGCACTCCAGCCTGGGCAACAGAGTGAGGCCCTGTCTCAAAATAAATAAATAAATAAATAAACCCAATGCTTAAGGCTATCAACAAAATATCAGAACTCCATTCATTGAGCACTTATCTCCCAGCCATCAGCAGGATGGCACCTCAGAGATATAAGTGGTTTCAGGTGTGCACACAATGATGTGCAAAGGTCTCAGGTCAAGGCAGTGAGGGCTTCAGCTGAGTCTTTGTTGCTCCTCCATTTCTGATGATACCCTCCAACCAAGGACCGCCAGGAAGCACCTATAGTTGAACAAGGGAGGCCAAACACCACGGACATGTCAGTAAGAGCATGTGTGAAAGGACTTACTACAAGATTGGGGCTTGTGTTAGGCGAATTCCTAGGTGGGTTAAAAAAGGGGGGTGTTTGCTCTGGGTGGGATGCTATCAGGAAGCAGGGATCATTCTTTTTGGTTATCTTCATAATTCTCATCTAGACAATGGGAGGAATGAATCAAGCTAAAACTGTGCTTGGTAAAGACACCCGCAGTGACTGGGTGCAGTGGCTCACACCTGTAATTCCAGCATTTTGGGAGGCTGAGTCGGACAGATCACCAGAGGTCAGAAGTTCAAGACCAGCCTGCGCAACATGGTGAAACCCCATCTCTACTAAAAATACAGAAATGATCCAGGCATGATGGTATGCGCTTGTAATCCCAGCTACTCTGGAGGCTGAGGCAGGAGAATCGCTTGAACCTGGAGGCGGAGGCTGTAGTGAGCCGAGACTGCATCACTGCACTCCAGCTTGAGTAACAGGGCAAGACTTTGTTTCAAAAACAAAACAAAATAAACAAAAACAACAACAACAAAAAGCAGCAGTGACATGCTGCAGGAGAGGGGGCTATGTTTGGTGGGGGTTGTGCTTAGTCATTTTTGTGGTTTGGAGAATGTTCTTGTTTCTGTGTTGAGGCTTAATTATGGTCTTTTTCTCGATCCATCAGTCAGAGTGACCTTGTCTGATGTTTTTTGTGAAACTATTATGCTCAACAGGACACCACCATAGCCTCGCTATTGGTGCCAGGCCAGCTCCTAGCAACACCAAGGCTTCTGGAGTGAGGGTGCAAACCAGCTCCCAGCTGGCAGCAGGTGCTGTTCTCTTTTTCACCGCCACCGAAATCAGAACTGGCAACCCCTTTGGTAGAACATGAGCTCCCGGTCACTACAGCCTCATTTATCTCCAGTAACGGGCCCATGTCACTCATTTTCACTCCGCACTCTCCTGCATGTGCATCCCTGACATCAACCACGCCCAGAGAAAAGTCTTCCAGTGACCTGCTGGCAGGGTTGACGGAAAAACTCTTGACTCTGTGTTTTCCTTCTAGCACCCCCCCTTGCTAGACATTAAGGCAGATTGTTAAATCCCTGATGTATCAGCGTCTAAACTGGATGCAGATTGGGTCAGATAAAAACACTTCTCAGTGCACTTTCTTGTCAACAGTAGGTTCCTATCTTTTCTTCTTTCTTTTGGGGTTGGGTGCTAGGTCCCATGACATTAGCTGGGATTCTAAGACCTTTGTTCAGCTGCTGCGGCCACCCCTGACACACCCTCTGCTCCTCAAATACGGAGAGTGTGTTGCTGCCTGCCTGAAGTTTTTTTTTTTTTTTAAAAGATGGAGTCTCTCACTCTGTTGCCCAGGCTGGAGTGAAGTGGCACTATCTTGGCTCACTACAACCTCCACCTCCCGGGTTCAAGCGATTCTCCGGCCTCAGCCTCTGAGTAGCTGGGACTACAGGTGTGCACCACCACGCCCGGCTAATTTTTGTATTTTTTAGTAGAAACGGGATTTCATCATATTGGACAGGCTGGTCTCGAACTCCTGACCTCGTGATCCACCCGCCTCGGCCTCCCAAAGTGCTGGGATTACAACCATGAGCCACCGCACCCTGAGGATCTTTGGATTTGCCTTCTCTCTGCCTGGAACTCTTCCCTCACATCTCCACATGGCCGCTTCCCAGCTTCAACTTGGCATCACCTCCTCTGGGAGGCTTTCCATCCTTGGTGCCGGCGCAGCAACACTGCTACCCCTTTGGCCTGTTTTTTTTTTTTGACACTATGTTGCCCAAGTGCAGTCGTCCTATCACAACTTACTGCAGCCTCCAACTCCTGGCCTCAAGCAATCCTCCTGCCTCAGCCTCCCGAGTAGCTGGGCTTAGAGGCTGGGGTTATAGGTGTCAGCCACCGCGCCCAGCCTCTTTGGCCTCCTTTAAGAGCTTCCTTCCGTGCTTTGTTCGCAGTTCTCGTCACGGTCTGTTCAGTGCGCAGGGCTGGGAGGCAGGAAACTGCCCAAAGCCCAGACATCTCGGTCTCAGTTTCCCCTCAAGCTCGTGAAGCTCTCTGAGAGCAGAGACCCAATCACGAGGCGGAGACTTCGCTTTCCACATCGGGCAGGGGTCGGCAGCATCCTCGATCTGGTCTTGGATACTACAGACTAGAGGGGAGCGCACAAAGACCCGCCCCGGAACCCTCAGGCCTCAAGCCGCTCTTCCACCGGCTCCCCCTGCAAGCCCACTGCGCATGCTTCGTACTCGCAGCCCGCCCCCCACTCAGGGGCGGAGCCGCGCCTGCGCAGCTGCCCGGCGCCGGCTTCCGGGTGGTGCGAGCGCGATGGGGCGGAGGGCAGGTGTCGCCGAGTAGCAGCAGCGAGTGGGCGTGTACGCCTAGCGGTCTGGCCCGAGGGCTGAGGGCGGCCGAGGGTCTTCGGGAGAAGGCCAGAGGCGCGGAGAGAGCCTGGGATCGCCGTCCGCCGCTGCCACCCGGCATGTCAGCGGAGGCCTCGGGCCCGGCGTCCGCCGCGGCCCCGTCCCTGGAAACCCCTAAGCCCTCGGGTCTAGAGCCTGGCCCCGCCGCCTACGGTCTCAAGCCGCTGACCCCGAACAGCAAGTACGTGAAGCTGAACGTGGGCGGCTCGCTGCACTACACCACGCTGCGCACCCTCACGGGACAGGACACCATGCTCAAGGCCATGTTCAGCGGCCGCGTGGAGGTGCTGACCGACGCCGGAGGTATGAGCAGCATCCCCACCGTGCCTCCATCCCCAGACCCCCAACTCCCGTTCCCCACAGTCTCTCACCACCGGGGCTCTTCACACCCCTTCTCCTCTGCTCACTACTGTCCGGTCAACTCATTCTCAGCTCCCTCCAGCGCCCACATCCCCTTTCTCATTCATAATTTCCCTTCTTCCCCAGTCCTTTACCCCCAGCAATAACCAACATTTACGGAACCCCTAACTCTGCCAGGCGCTGTGGTAAGTGATTGAACATGTCACTTCATAATCCTCATGACACTTCTCCCACCCTTCTCCCCTCAGCTCAAGACTTGGGTACTAGCCCTGCTGCCTGCAATTCTACTCCTGGCAGCCTTCATCAGTTTCTTCCAACTGCCCAGCCTTTTGTTTCCCTCTCTGCCTCAGAACTGCTCAGCCAGCCTGGAGAGGTGGGAGATCTTGTCTGCCTCTGTGTTCCCCCGACACAGGTCCCTGTACACTCTAGCAATCCACGTGTCGATACACATTACAGAAGGAGGATGCTTTGGGTTTTCCAGGGACACCAGAGTGGAGGGGTGGACAGGTCTCCTTGGCAGGTGAACCTTACCTTCTTGGAGTGTCGCATTCAACTTTGGACCCTGCATGCCCAAGTGAGACCTTAAAGTTTTGGAGTTCGGAACTGGGAGATTCTTAAGGGAGGAGTTAACAAGGACTATGAGAACAGGAGAATAAAATTTGGGAGGCGGACATCTGCCTTCAAGTATCAAAGGTGAAGAACTTGGCTGGGCTCGGTGGCTCACACCTGTAATCCCAGCACTTTGGGAGGCCGATGTGGGTGGATCATCCGAGGTCAGGAGTTTGAGACCAGCCTGACCAATATGGTGAAACCCCGTCTCTACTAAAAATACAAAAATTAGCCGGGTGGGGTGGCAGGCACCTGTAGTCCAAGCTACTGAGGAATCTGAGACAGGAGAATCGCTTGAACCTGGGAGGCGGAGGTTGCAGTGAGCCGAGATTGTGCCATTGCACTCCAGCCTGGGCAACTCAGCGTAATTCTGTCAAAAAAAAAAAAAAAAGGCCGGGCGCGGTGGCTCAAGCCTGTAATCCCAGCACTTTGGGAGGCCGAGGCGGGTGGATCACGAGGTCAAGAGATCGAGACCATCCTGGTCAACATGGTGAAACCCCGTCTCTACTAAAAATACAAAAAAAAAAATTAGCTGGGCATGGTGGTGCATGCCTGTAATCCCAGCTACTCAGGAGGCTGAGGCAGGAGAATTGCCTGAACCCAGGAGGCGGAGGTTGCGGTGAGCCGAGATCGCGCCATTGCACTCCAGCCTGGGTAACAAGAGCAAAACTCCGTCTCAAAAAAAAAAAAAAATTAAAAAAAAAAAAGTGACAAATTCATTTGTCCAATAAGTATTTGTAAAATATCAGTTAGTGGTGGAGATACATAGGTAAATGAACGTGACAAAATTATGGAAAGTCCCTTTTTTTAAGGAGGTGGGAGATGAGATCAATAAGCAAGTAAAAATGTATATGCATATGCAGTTGCAGATGGTAGTAAGTTCTTTTTTTTATATAAGTTCTATGAATAATATAAAAGTTGAAATGGTAGTGAACTGAAGGGAGGAGGTAGGCATTTTAAATAGGATGGTCAGAATTAACATGGGGGTTAGAGGTTTATTGATAAGTTAATTCTGCAAGAACTTACGTGGTAAGAGCCTTCTGACTGTAGATCAGATATGGAAGAATTAATTCCCTGGCTGGATATGTATAAAAACTAATGGGAGAACTCACTAGAGATATTTTAAAGAGATTTTTTGACTGTGGCACAGATTAGTATTCAATCTTTTTTGTGACTTTGGAATCCTTTTTTTTTTTTTTTTTTTTTGTGTGTGTGACGGTGTTTCCCTCATGTTGCCCAGGCTGGAGTGCAACGGCACCAATTCGGCTCACTGCAACCTCCGCCTCCCAGGCTTAAGCTATTCTCCTGCCTCAGCTTCCCAAATAGTTGGGATTACAGGCATGCGCCACCATGCCTGACTAATTTTGTATTTTTAGTAGAGATGAGGTTTTTCCATCTTGGTCAGGCTGGTCTTGAGCTCCCGACCTCACAGCTTAAAAAAATGAGGTGATGAGCCCGCCTCAGCCTCCCAAAGTGCTGGGATTACAGGCATCAGCCACCACGCCTAGCTGGAATCCTTTTTTTCTTATAATTTAGGCCAGGTGTGGTGACTAACACCTATAATTCAAGTACTTTGGGAGGCTGAGATGGGAAGATCACTTGAGCCCAGGAGTTCAAGACCAGCCTGGGCAACATAGTGAGACTCCATTGCTACAAAAAATTTTTTTTGATTTAGTAGCTCCAGGTCCCCCAGCAAAGCCATCTTTCCACCGTACTAGGTTGGGTGCTGATTGACCGGAGCGGCCGTCACTTTGGTACAATCCTCAACTACCTGCGGGACGGGTCTGTGCCACTGCCGGAGAGTACCAGAGAACTGGGAGAGCTGCTGGGCGAAGCACGCTACTACCTGGTTCAGGGCCTGATTGACGACTGCCAGCTGGCACTGCAGGTGAGGGCCTTCCGAGTCCCTGCGCCTATGTTCCTGAGAGAGATGCCCAAGCAGGTATTAGGACAGAAAAAATGAGATATGGGGTATGGCCTAGAGAGCCTGCCTCTGATTGGCCATAACCCCAGAGAATTTGGGATGCTATCTTCTGCATCCCTGCTGCCTAGGCAGCACCCCCACCCCAGCCTCATGCCAGGACCATTACAATGGTTAAATTAGCTGCCCTCTGCTTCCCGCTGTTCCTATGCAGCCACTCCAGCTGTTACACTCGCACCTGAGTAATTATCCTTAACCACAACTCCCATCTATTCTCTCTCTTGCTCAGAAATCCTAAATCGTTCTCTCATGTCACCTGGGAAAAACATCTAAATTTAAATTGAAATATAATAACCTCTGCGATCTGGTCCTATCCTGGGAGGCAGCGTTCTCCCATGGCTTCCACCCCTCAGGGGCTTTCTAATTGTTTTTTTTTTTTTTAAGCGGTTAAATTCTTTATTCTAATGAAATCTCACAGAAGCAGGGCCACTCCTAGTAAAACAGGATTGGGGATTCTAGAGACCCCACCTGCTGGGCTCCACTTCTGTGGACCCCTGAGGGTTCTGAAGATCAGAGCTTGGAAAGTGAAGCCAGGACATAGGAGTTCTGTGTCACCTGTCACAGCTGTCTCAGTGACCTTCAGTGAGTCCATTCCTACCTCTGGCATTCTTTCATGTTGGGAAAGATAGCGAAGGGAGAAAAATAAGTACGACGTAGTGAGTTTTACATAAAGCCTGTTATTCTGTTCTATTTTTACAATGTTAAAAATGTCCTTTCTTTTATGATACAATAGTAAGAGGAGATTATAAAAGTTTATTTTTCTTTCTTTTTTGAGACAGAGTCTTGCTCTGTCCCCCAGGCTGGAATGCAATGGCATGGTCTCGGCTCACTGCAACCCCCGCCTCCCAGGTTCAAGCGATTCTCCTGCCTCAGCCTCCGGAGTAGCTGGGATTACAGGCGCCCACCACTATGCCCAGCTGATTTTTGTATTTTTAGTAGAGTTGAGTTTCACCATGTTGGGCAGGCTGGTCTTGAACTCCTGACCTTGTAATATACCCGCCTCAGCTTCCCAAAATGCTGGGATTACAGGCATGTGCCACCACGCCTGGCCGATCATAAAAGTTTATTTTTGAATGTCCTTTGTAGATTAAAAAGTAGCCTGTCTGAACAACTTTCTGTTGTCTCAGGGAATACTTACTGGTTCTTGAAACCCAAAGGTGTAGAACTCCTCTGGACAATATCTATGTTTTCAAACTTTTCATTGCGTCCCATAGTGGAAAAAATGCATTTTAATACTCATATATAACCAAAATAACAGTTCTATAAAAAGATGCTTTTAGTGAAATGTGCTCCGATAATCTTCTTTCTTTTTATGCTGTTTGGAACCCGTTACTTATTTCATGACCCATTAGTAAATTACCGCTTGCATTTGAGAAACACTCACTGAACTAGATCTTAGAAGTACATTTTTGCTCTTTATTTCTTTTTCTCTTTCTTTTCTTTTTTGAAACAGAGTCTCTCTGTTTCCCAGGCTGGAGTGCAATGGCATGATTTCAGGTCACTGCAACCTCTGCCTCCCGGGTTCAAGCAATTCTCCTGCCTCAGCCTCCCATGTAGCTGGGATTACAGGCACCCACCACCACGCTTTGCTACTTTTTTGTATTTTTAGTAGAGACGGGGTTTCACCATGTCGGCCAGGCTGATCTCGAACTACTGACCTCATGTGATCTACCTGCCTTAGCCTTCCAAAGTGGTGGAATTATAGGTGTGAGCTACCGCGGGAGGCCTGTAGTTTTAAATTTACTAATTTTATCATGTATCTGCTGTGTGTCAAGAGCGATTCTGCTATCTGCTTGTGTATATATCTTGTACCCTTGTTTGACATAAAAAGAAACACAAGGGAGCTTGGGTGATGCATCCAAGGTCAAAGAGCTTGGAAGCAGCAGAGCTCAGATTTGACCCCAGGTTACCTGGCTATCTGACCATCAGCCTCCCAAGTGCAATGCTTTTCTGTATTCCTGCTCTCTCCTTTCCAAACTCCCTCCCTACCCCACACAGCTTGGCACACTCCTCAGTGTGGCATTTCATCATCATTATTGGTCTGTGCAAACCTTTTCTCTTTCATTTTATTTCTTTCCCTTCATTCCCAATGCCCTGCCTACTTTCCTTTTCCCCAGGGGCACCCATCCAATTCTAATGTTTTGATACATATGCTGGAAAAGCTAAAGCATTGTTCTGCATATGTGTGCATTTGAAATGTCCATAAATGGCATTGAAGCTGTGAATCAGTTTCTGTTGCATTGTGTTTTTTTAATTCAGCACTTTTTTCAAGATCTATTCATGCTGCTCCAAGTACATCTAGTTCTTTGCCTCTAACAGCTGCAGAGGAATCTATGGTGTTCATTCACCATATTTTGTTCATATATTCCCCTGAGGTTGTAGACCTAGATTGCCTCCCAGCTCCTGGCCCTACAAACCGTGTCACCATGAGCATCCTGGTACGTGCTCCTTTCTGGCTCTGTGCCAGAGTCTCCTGTGATTGTAGCTGGGAGTAGAATTGCTGGATAACAGGACACCTGCAAACTGGGTTTTAGTAAATATCACCAAATTGCTCCCCAAATGGTTATAGCACTTTATCCTGATAATGAGCAGTGCATAAGAGATCCCATTTCTGCATGTCCTCATCAAAACATGGCATCATCCAGCTTTCTAATTTTGCCAATCCGATGAGTGTAGAGTGATCTCATTTTCATTTGCATGCCTCCGATTACTAATGAGGTTCAGCATCTTTTCATATACTCACTAGCATTTTTTTTGTTTCCCTTTCTGTGAATTGCTTATTCATGTTCTTTACCATATTTTCTATTTTCTTTTTCATGTGGCTTAGCAGGAGATCCTTGCATATTTTAGTTTAGTTCCTAGGGATAATTAAGCCCTATTACATATGAGCATGTCTTATCCATGCCCTGGGGCATGGATTGTACATAACAAATTAACCTCTAAGCCTGTAAAATGGGACTGTTTACCTACCCTCCTCAGCAAATTTCAGAAAATACTCTAATTATTTGTTGTTGTTTTGTTTTGCTTTTTCTTTTTTTGAGATGGAGTCTTGATCTTTTGACCAAGGTGGAGTGCAGTGGCACAATCTCAGCTCACTGCAACCTCTGCCTCTGGGATTCAAGTGATTTTCCTACCTCAGCCTGTTGAGTAGCTGGGACTACAGGCGCACATCACAATGCCTGGCTAATTATTTCGTAATTTTTGGTAGAGATGGGGTTTCACCATGTTGGCTGGGCTGGTCTTGAACTCGTGACCTCAAGTGATCCGCCTGCCTTGGCCTCCCAAAGTGCTGGGATTCAGGCGTGAGCCACCGTGCCCACCTATGCTGGTTTTTGAGATTCAGATGAGGAACTCCAGTTGAAAAAGTCTGTTCTAGATAAAAATATCTAGTCAATGTAGATATTGCCAATATTTTCTCTTAGAATGTTATCTGCTTATGGCATCTAGCATTGAGTGGAAATCCTTGATTTTTCAAAGCAACAAATAACCATTTATTATTTTGAAGCAGTATTTATTAACTGTAGAGATTTCAGAAATACAAGTAATCTAAAAAATAAAAGCACCAAATATCCTTTCAGGTCTTTTCCTGTGTGTGAGTTTATGTATGCATGTATGTGTTTTGCTTGCCAAAATAGAATCGTGTTGTATGAAATGTTTTATAATCTGCTTTTTTGTTGTTGTTAATAATTGCCATCTTTACGTGTCAATAAATATTTAATGCCCAGTCCAGGGCATACTCCAGTTTCTCCAGTTGTTCCAGAAATGTGTTTTTATACCTGGTTCATCAAACCAGGGACCAGTCTAGATCTTCACGTTGCGTCTGGCTATCTGCAAGTGGACAATGGAGTGCGTGACTTACAATCTCATGTAATGATGTTAAAGAGATGATAAGTGCTAGAGATATTCTGTGGCACAAATGTAATTACTGCTTCAGGTAAGGATTATCAGTTGGTGCGTCATTGATAGGTAACTGCCTTAATACAGTGGCCAAATAATACCATAGGCGCTACTTTATTACAATCCAAGGGTCCCTTTTTCCTCACGATGCTGGCTTGTTAAAGAGACTGCCAGTTGTCCTGCACAGTGACCTCTTTCCAAATTGGCCTGGTTGTTTACTCCCTGTATCATTTGGTTTGTTACCCAACCCTACCCTTCATTTCCAATAAGCCAGACTGTAGATTTAAAATGACTGATATTGGCTGGGCACAGTGGCTTACACCTGTAATCCCAGCATTTTGGGAGGCCGAGGCGGGTGGATCTCTTGAAGTTAGGAGTTTGAGACCAGCCTGGCCAACATGGTGAAACTCCTTCCCTATTAAAAATATAAAAATTTGCTGGGAGTGGTGGTGGGCACGTGTGATCCCAGTTTACTCAAGAGGCTGAGGCAAGAGAATCACTTGAACCTGGGAGGCGGAGGTTGCAGTGAGCCAAGATTGCACCATTGCACGCCAGCCTGGGCAACAGAGCAAGACTTCTTCTCAAAATAAATAAATAAAATAATAAAATAAAATTACTGATGTTAAACATTTTGGTTAGAATACATTTTAAGTAATGTTATGTATGTATTTCACATTAGGTCACATCGAGCAACCCCTAATATTGTTAATATGATTCGTCATTAAGGACGTTCATAATTGGCCCCTGGATATAGGAGATGGTGGTTTGATCCCTCTATCATTGTTATATTTCCTTGTTGCCAACTATGAAGTAATGCATATGGTATTATTTGGCCACTGAATTAAGGCAGTTCCATATCAGTGACACATCAATTGATAATCCTTTCCTGAACCAGTAATTACATTTGTGCCACAGAATACTTATTACTCTTATCACCTCTTCAACGTTATTACATGAGATTATTTGTAAAGTCATGCTTTCCATTGTCAACTTGAAAAATTTTTGATTTTGATGTAGTCCAATTCCTCACCATTTTTTGCCTAATGACATATCCTTATGGCCTTGTTTAAAATTTTTTTTCTGATTCTCTGTTTCTTGTTAGCTTTCTAGTTTTGTTTTATTTTTTGAGGCAGAGTCTGGATCTGTCACCCAGGCTAGAGTGTAATGGCACCATCTCGGCTCACTGCAGCCTCCACCTCCCAGGTTCAAACGATTTTCGTGTCTCAGCCTCCCAATAGCTGCGATTACAGGAGTGCATCACCATACCCGGCTGATTTTTTTTGTTTTTCTGAGACGGAGTCTCATTCTATTGCCCAGGCTGGAGTGCAGTGGCATGATCTTGGCTCACTGCAACCTCCGCCTCCCGTGTTCAAGTGATTCTTTTCCTCAGCCTCCTGAGTAGCTGGGATTACAGGTGCACACCACCACACCTGGCTAATTTTTGTATTTTAATAGAGACAGGGTTTTACCATATTGGCCAGGCTGGTCTCGAACTCCTGACTTCTGACCTTGTGATCTGCCTGACTTAGATTCCCAAACTGCTGGGATTACAGGCGTGAGCCACTGCACCTGGCCATTTTTGTATTTTTTTGTAGAGACTGTGTTTTGCCATGTTGGTCAGGTGGGTCTCAAACTCCTGAGCCCAAGCGAGCCATCTACCTCGGCCTCCCAAAGTGCAGGGATTACAGACATGAGCCACCATGCCTGGCCTATAGTTTTAAATATGGGTTTTTTTCATATATGGGTATTTTAATCTAAATGGAGCTCACTTTTGTAAATATGAATTGTGAAGGGATTTAGCTCATTTTTGTCTTCCGTAGGGTGAGCTAGTTTTCCCGGTGCCAGCTATTTCATAGTCTGGTAGCTAGCATCCATGAGAGCCACCAGGGCTTCTTGCCTCCCGGTGTCCAGGCTCTTGTTTAGTCCTGTCCCACACCGAATAGGGCTGACCTATTCAGTTCCTCACCAAGGAGATCCTTGTGTATGACCAATAGGACATTGCAGAAATGACAGCACGAGACTTTGAAGCTAGGTCATAAAAGACATTACAGCTTCTGCCTCTCTTTGGGGTCACTCACTCTGGGAAGTGCTATGTGAGGACACTCAGGCAGCCCTAGGTAGAGGTCCACTTGGTGAGGAACTGAAGCCCTTGCCAACAGCCAGCACAGACTCCCTGTCATACTGATGACCTGTCTCAGAAGCAGAGCTTCTAGGCCCAGGCAAACCATGACTGCAGCCTTGGCCAAAATCCAGACTTCAGCTTCATGACAGACTCTGGGCCAGGGCCACCCAGCTCAACTCATCCCAAATTCCTGACCCACAGAAACTATGTGAGATAATAAATGTTTATTTTTGTTTATTTTTTAAAAATAGAGGCAGAGTCTCGCTATGTTGGCCAGGCTGGTCTCGAACTCCTGACTTTAAGCAGTCCTCCTGCCTTGGCCTCCCAAAATGCTGAGATTATAGGCATGAGCCACCACACCTGGACTATTGTTTTAAGCTGCTAAGTTTGTAGTAATTTGTTACCCAACAACAGAGAACAGATTTTGGTTTCTGGAATGGGGGTCTGCCATAACAGAAACCTCAAATGTAGAAGTAACTTTACAACTGAGAGGCGGGAAGAAGCTGGAAGGTCTTTGAGGAAAGTGTCACTAACAAAGCTTAAGGACTGTTAAAGAGTATTGGCGGGGCACAGTGGCTCACGCTCATAATCTTATTACTTTTGGTGGCTGAGGTGGAAGAATTACTTGAGCTCAGGAGTTCGAGACCAGCCTGGGCAATATAGTGAGACTTTGTCTCTAAAAAAAAATTTTTTTTAAAGTTTAAGAGTCTGTTAATAAGAGTCCAATGACCTTTAAGGAGGCTGCAATGAAGGCTTAAAGAACAGTTAGGAAAATGCTATTGGAAACTGATGGAAAGGAGATCCTTGTGTAGCGGCAGAAAGTTTAGCAACACTGTCTCCTGCAGTAATGTGGAGGGTAGGAAATATGCCTAATGAATGGATGGTCTAGCTAAGGAGCTTCCCAGACAGAATGTTGAAAGTGCCACCTGCCTTCTTGTTACTATTAGTAAAATTGAAGAGGAGAGGGTAAGTTAAAGAAAAAACCATTTGAATGAAAAGGAGCCTGAAGTTGATGGGTGTGAAAATTCCCAGCCTTTCCAGATAACAAGTGATGTTAAAATTAACAAATGGCTTCCATGCAAAGATTAAATACAAGGCATTAAATACAGGAAAATGTGGTCTAAAGGCGAAGCTGAGGATATGATGAAAATCCTTTGTTAAGACCTCTGAAATACCAACAAGATGCTTCAGAGGAACCTCCCAGTCAAATCAAATAATAATAGCGCTTCTGAGAGCCTTAAAGGTGTTGTGTCTTAGCATCTCAGCATAAGCCCAAACTAGAGAAGGGCTTACCTTGCAGATTTTTTTTTTTTTTTAAACAGCTCACTACAACCTCTGCTTCCTGGGTTCAAGTAATTCTGCTGCCTCAGCCTCCCAAGTAGCTGGGATTACAGGTGTCCAGCACCATGCCTAGCTAATTTTTGTTTTTAGTAGAGACAGGGTTTTACCATGTTGGTCAGGCTAGTCTCGAACTCTGGACCTCAGGTGATCCACCCACCTCGGACTCCCAAAGTGCTGGGATTACAAGAGTGAGCCACCACACCTGACCACTTGCAGAGATTTTTAGGTGTGGCTTTTTCTAATGTAGTGAACCCTAAGACATGCAAGATATCCAATAAGTTGTGAAGAGAATTATATTGGCAGAAACACTGCCAGCTTGGAATGAAAGGGACAGAGCCGGTGCAAGAGGACAAGAGCCCTTTGCACCCCCAAACTTCTATAGGAAGCAGGCAGATGAAACTGTGGAGCTGCAAACATCTTTCTTGGAAGAGGTGGAATGACTCAGGCAGATCCATGGAGAATCATTCCTGAACAGGAGTAGGCATCAGAGTTTCCAGCATTTCTCCAACTGGATTATAGAATTCATGCAGACTTATATGTGCCTCCTGTCCCTTGCCCCATTTTTTCTTTCTTTTTTTTTTTTTTTGATATAGTCTTGCTATGTTGCCCAGGCTGGTCTAGAACTCATGGGCTCAAGTGATCCTCCCACCTTGGCCTCCCGAGTAACTGGGATGACAGGCACGTGCTACCATGCCTAGCTTCCCCCGCTTTTGAGCAGGAGTGTCCTACCTTACTGGTTATCCTGCGCCTGCCTCTTCCACTGCACACTGGGTGTGTGGAGGAGATAACCTTTCTCTTTAGTTCACAGGTCTGCAGATAGGAAATACACTTAAGGGCTGGGCGCTGTGGCTCACACCTGTAATCCCAGCATTTTGGGAGGCCAAGGCAGGTGGATTACCTGAGGTCAGGAGTTCGAGACCAGCCTGACCAACATGTTGAAACCCTGTCTCTACTAAAAATAACGAAAATTAGCTGGGTATGGTGACACTTGCCCATAGTCCCAGCTACTCGGGAGGCTGAAACAGGAGAATTGCTTGAACTTGGGAGGCGGAGGTTGCAGTGAGCCAAAATGGTACCACTGCACTCCAGCCTGGGAGACAGAGCAAGACTCCATTCCCCCAAAAAAGAAATGCATTTAAGGAGCTGTAGTTAAGGAACTGCTCACTAGAGCCACATCCCCACCTTGACCTGATTGAGATGACGAGATTCTGTATTTTGAGCTGATGCTGTAATGGGATGATGGGGGATCCTGGGAGCAGGTGAATGTATTTCGCATGTGGGAGGGAGGAAATCACTGAGGGCCAGCAGTGGCCTGTGAAGCGAGTCACCAAGGCAGCCTGATGGTTCTCATCCCCTGGGGCTTGTTCCCATGTGTGATCTCCTTCCACACTGGATAGGGCCGACAGACCTAGGTGGTAAAAGACAACGAGGGGCCAGGCACCGTGGCTCACACCTGTAATTCCAGCACTGTGGGAAGCCAAGGCAGGCAGATCACCTGAGGTCGGGAGTTTGAGACCAGCCTGGTCGACATGGTGAAACCCTGTCTCTATTAAAAATACAAAAATTAGCTGGGCGTGATGGCACATAATCTGTAATCCCAGCTACTTGGGTGGTTGAGGCAGGCGAATCGCTTGAACCTGGGAGGCGGAGGTTGTAGTAAGCTGAGATCACGCCACTGCACTCCAGCCTGGGCAACACAGCAAGACTCCATCTTAAAAAAAAAAAAGTAGAGAATGAGGCTTCTACCTTGCCCTCTCTGGAATTATGCGCTCTGGAGAAGCCAGCTGCCATGCTGTGAGGAACTCTAGCAACCCCATGGAGAGATCCACAAAGCAGAGATTCGCTGTTTCCTGCCAGCAGCTAGCGCGAACTTGCCAGCCACATGAACAGCTTTCTCAGAATGCTTCCTCTAGGGGCAGTCATGCTTGCAGATGCCCACAGCACCACTGACATCTTGGCCACAACCTTACAAGAGACCCTGTGCCAGAGCCACCCAGCCGAGCCACTGCTGAGTTCCTGACCCTCAGAAACAGAAGTAATAAATAAATATTTTAAGCTGCTAAATTGGGGGCAGTTTGTTACATGGTGATAGATAACAAATTGGTACTCCATAATTTGCCTCGCTCGTTTGTGGTGTCTTTTTAAAAATCGTAGTCCTCACAGACACGGCAGTCTGTTTCTGAGCGCTCTGTTGTGTTTCTGTTCCGGAACTGACACTGTTCTCACTGTTGCAGCTTTGCAGCCTATCTTAATATCTGGCAGGGTCAGCCTTTCCTCTGCCCTTCTTTTTAAAAACTGACATAAGTATGGGAGGATGGCTTGAGCTCAGGAGGTCAAGGCTGCTGTGAGCTATAGTCACGTCACTGCACCCAGCCTGGGTGATAGCAAGACCCTTTCCCAAAAAAAAAAAAAAAAAAAATGACCTAAGTAATTGTAGACTTTTATTCTTCTGTGTTAATTTTAGAGAGTCTTATGAGTTTCTAAAAAAAAAAATCTGGAATTTGCATTAGAATTGCACATTGAATTTTCAAGGTTGGGAGAAGTGAGAGAGATTTTGGCATGAAGATTTTAGAAGACAGAAGAGAAAGAAGCCCATGCATTTGCTTCTGATTTCTTTCTCCAATCTCACCCCACCCAATGAGGTTTATTCACTCAACAAATATGTTCATTCATCCAACAAATACAGAGCATCAGCTGTTTACTAGGTAGTTATTGATAGGTGGGAAGAGACAGATCATAAATACATAAAAATTTTAGAAAAAGTCAAGCACTAAGTGCTGTGTAGAAAATGAACTGATAAAAGGCAGATGGAGAGGAGGGTGTTTTAGCCAGGGGGCCTGGGGAGGGCTGGCCCTGAGGAGGCACTGTGTGAGCTGCAGATCTGAATGGCATGACAGACCCGCTACTCTCACAGCTGAGCAAAGAAGCATGCCTGGCAGGGGCACAGCCTGCAGCTGTGGTAGGCGCAAGCTGGATGTGTGAAGCAGTAAAGCATCCGTGGGACCAAAGCCCAGCAAACAAAGGGAGAGTGGCAGAGAGTCGGCGGAGCCCGGAGCCTGCAGAGCCCTGCAGACCACTGAGGAGTCTGCAGTTGTTCCCAAGCAGCTTTTAAAGGCTTTTAAATGGGGAATACGTGGCTTTGGTCATGCTGTTAACCACCTTCCGCTTCTTCCCCAGCAAAAAAGGGAGACGCTGTCCCCGCTGTGCCTCATCCCCACGGTGACATCTCCCCGGGAGGAGCAGCAGCTCCTGGCCAGCACCTCCAAGGTGAGGCCCCTGAGCCCTGTAGGGTGGAGGCTCACTGGGGTCCTCTCCCTGCAGTCTCACCCCTTTCCTCCATCCTCTCTCCCCCACCAGCCCGTGGTGAAGCTCCTGCACAACCGCAGTAACAACAAGTACTCCTACACCAGGTGACCGCGGGGGTGCGGGGTACTGGGCGGGACCCTGGGATGCAGCACAGCCCTGCTTCTGCCCAGGGCAAGGGCCCTGGTCACATGGGGGGCCTACAAGAACACCTGCCTGCCTGCTCGCAGATTCAGCTCTGCCTCTTACCCCTGGCACCCTGGGCAGGTCCTTTCCACTTCTCAGCTTCAGCTCAGTCATCAGTAACCTGGGGTTTGGGTGAGCACAAAATGATAATGGCGAGCCTGTCCCAAGTGCTCTCTCTCTAGGAACTGGCAGAGTCCTCCCCCTTGAGGTCAGGACTGTTGTGAGCTCCATTTTACAGATGAGGAGGTCGAGGCACCAAGAAGTGAAGTAACTTGCCTACTGTCCCCCAGTTTAAAAGGTGGGGGTGCCAGCTGGGTACAGTTGCTCACACCTGTAATCCCAGCACTTCGGGAGGCTGAGGCAGGCGGATCATGAGGTCAGGAGTTCGAGACCAGCCTGGCCAATATGGTGAAACCCTATTTGTACTAAAAATACAAAAATTAGCTGGGTGTGGTGTTGCGTGCCTGTAGTCCCAGCTACTTGGGAGGCTGAGGCAGGAGAATTGTTTGAACTTGGGAGGCGGAGGTTGTGGTGAGCCAAGATCATGCCACTGTACTCCAGCCTGAACAACAGAGCAAGACTCCATCTCAAAAAACAAAAAAAGGTGGGGGCACCAGGACCCCCAGGGAGGTGGCCTGGCTCTAGGGCCCCCACAGGAGCCACTGTGCTGTGCTGGGATTTGCTCAGCGCATGTAGCTTCCCTTCGGAGGCCCACTTAGCCTGGCTCCAGGGGCGGAGGAGGCTCCCTGTTGGGCACCAAAATCCTGGGCAGGAGCAGAGGGCTGGGGATGCATCCAGGCCCTGGTCCTGGGGCTACAGAGGGAGGGGTGCCAGCTGTGCTAAGGCCTCCTGGTCCCCTGGTCCTCAGCACCTCAGACGACAACCTACTTAAGAACATCGAGCTGTTCGACAAGCTGGCCCTGCGCTTCCATGGGCGGCTACTCTTCCTCAAGGATGTCCTGGGGGATGAGATCTGCTGCTGGTCTTTCTACGGGCAGGGCCGCAAAATCGCCGAGGTGTGCTGCACCTCCATTGTCTATGCCACGGAGAAGAAGCAGACCAAGGTCAGAGGGGTTGCAGAGCCTGCACGAGGGGCTGGGGGTGGGTAGGACCAGGACCCTGGACAAAAGCAGGAGGCAGGAACCAGATCCTGGGGTCTGGGTGTGCAACATCGGGCAAGCCACCTTATCCCTGTGGGTCTCTGTTTCTCAGTGAAGTTGGGGTCATGGGTTAGAGCAGGGTGCTTAGCCTAGGCCTGTTGGATGGGTTTTGAGGCTGTCTGCAACTCCTGAATTAGTGTGCAGGTTATGGGGGTATATGCATTTTTCTGTATAGGAGGTCCATTGTTGTCATTAGAAACTTAGAAGGGACCAGGCATAGTGGCTCACACCTGTAATTTCTAGACTCTTGGAGGCCAAGGCAGGAGGATCACTTGTGCCCAGGAGTTCAAGACCAGCCTGGGCAACATAGCGCAACCCGATCTCTGTAACAGGTCAAAAAATTTAGCCAGTTGTGGTGGCGTGGTGGTGTGATGGCATGCACGGGTAGTCCCAGCCACTCAGGAGGCTAAGGCGGGAGGATTGCTTGAGCTCCGGAATTTTTTTTTTTTTTTTTTTTTTTTTGAGACAGAGTCTCCATCTGTCTCCCAGGCTGGAGTGCAGCAGTGTGATCTCAGCTCACTGTAACCCCCGCCTCCCGGATTCAAGTGATTTTTCTGCCTCAACCTCCCAAGTAGCTGGGACTATAGGCACCCACCTCCATGCGTGGCTGATTTTTGTATTTTTAGTAGAGACAGGGTTTCACCATATTGGACAGGCTGGTATTGAACTCCTGACCTCAAATGATCTGCCCACCTCAGCCTTCCAAAGTATTGGGATTACAGGGGGGAGCCACTGCACCTGGCCTAGCCTGGAAATTTGAGGCAGCAGGGAGCTATGATCATGCCACTGCATTCCATCCTAGGAGACAGAGTGAGGCCCTAATTAAAGAAAAAAAAAAAGTCAGAAAGGTCCACTGCCAAAAATAGATTCTTAAAACCTCAGGACCAGATGTCTCTTAGAACATCCTCTGAGTTTGTAGAGCCTGAGTTATTAACGTGGCAATCATCAGCAGATATTCCCCAAGCCCCTGCTCTGTGCTATGTACTGCACCAGGCTGGAAATCAAGGTGAATGAAGTGCTGAGCAAAGTACAAGCCCTTCCTCACGTGGTCTCTTCCAGGCTTACTGTGAGCCATGTGCCTCAGGTACACCAGTCACCGCAAGCCTCTAAGCACCCAGTGCTGTTTCACCCCTCCTTACCTCTGCACACACTGTTGCCTCTTCTTGGAATTCTTTCCTTCTATCTGCCTAATGAACTTGTACTTAATGTTAACACTCAAGCTAAGCATCACTTTCTTTGGGTCACTTTCACTCATGAACTTTCAACCCAACAACCCCAAAGTTGGTCACACTCCCTTCATAGCTAAAGACAGTGTTTATTATTATTATTATTATTTATTTTTTTTTTTTAGACGGAGTTTTGCTCTCGTTACCCAGGCTGGGGTGCAATGGCGCGATCTCAGCTCACCGCAGCCTCCGCCTCTTGGGTTCAGGCAATTCTCCTGCCTCAGCCTCCTGAGTAGCTGGGATTACAGGCACGTGCCACCATGCCCAGCTGATTTTTTGTATTTTTAGTAGAGATGGGGTTTCACCATGTTGACCAGGATGGTCTTGATCTCTTGACCTGGTGATCCACCTGCCTTGGCCTCCCAAAGTGCTGGGATTACAGGCGTGAGCCACTGCGCCCGGCCTGACAGTGTTTATTATTGTGTGTGGGTGGAGGGGAGGGGGTTGTGTCAGCAGTTGGGTGTTAGTTTCTTGAGGGCAGTGCCATGTCTTTTTCTTTCCTTTCTCCCTAGAGTTAGCCAGGCCCTTGTCACACAGTGGAAGCTAGGAAACATTTATTGAATAAATGAATGAATCAGTGACCCAGCTTCTAAGAAACATCCTCTGTAAATGGGAAGATAGGAAGATAAATTAGTAATTAGAGTGCATGGCTCACACCTGTAATCCCAGCACTTCGGGAGGCTGAGGCAGGGGACCACTTGAGCCCAGGAGGTTGAGGCTGCAAGGATCCATGATCACACCACTGCACCCCAGCCTACTAAACAAGAGTCAGATCCTGTCTCAGAAACAAAGAACGAAAACAGTTTGCTAAGAGCTGTGTTAGATGCTTCCAAGGCCACACAAGGGAACGCTCCAGTCACCTCTTCGACTTCATCCCCTTCCACTCTCTTTCATCTCTGCCTCAATTGCATTGATTTTCCAGTAATATATTCCTGTAAGACGCTGGGTACACTCCTGACTCACAGCTCTCATGCTGGCTCTAGCCCTTCCCAGGCTGCCCTTTCTAGCTGTGCGCCTAGTCCCCACCCCCACTTCTTTGGTCAAATGTCACCTTCTCAGTGAGGCCTTCCCTGGAGTCCCTCTTAAAAGTTCTAACACTCCTGGCTCTGGCCATCACATCTTTTCCTGCTCTGTCTCTCTCTCTCTCCCCCCCCCCCCCCCCCCTTTTTTTTTTTTTTTTTTTACATAGATGAGATCTCGCTACATTGCCCTTGCTGGCTTTGAACTCCTGGGCTCTAACGATCCTCCTGCCTTAGCATCCCAAAGTTCTGGCATTGCAGTCAGGAGATACCATACCCAGCTTGTATCTGTTCCTAAACATCATCATCTGACTTCGTTTATATTTTATTTATTTATTTATTTATTTATTTATTTATTTATTTATTTTTATCGAGATGGGGTCTCACTCTGTCACCCAGGTTGGAGTGCAGTGGTGCAATCTCTGCTTACTGCAACCTCTGCCTCCCATGCCCAAGTGATCCTCCCAACTCAGCCTCCCAAGTAGCTGGGAAAACAGCTAGTTAATTTTTTGTATTTTTGGTAGAGATGGGGTTTCCCCATGTGCCCAAGCTGGACTCAAACTCCTGGCCTCAAGCTATCCCTCCCAAAGTGCTGGGATTACAGGCATGAGCCACCATGACCAGCTAGTTTATATTTTCTGAAGTATATGACTGAGTCCTCCCACCAGAATGTAACTTCCTGAGGACAGGACCCTGGTTTTGTTCACTGATGTTTTTGCAGTGCCTAAAACAATACCTGGTGTGGTGTGCTTACTCAGTATTTGTCAAATGCAAACATATACCAAGAGACTAGGCAGGGCAGGAGATGAAGGAGAGAAAACAAATTCTGCCTGCCTGACATCAAGGCTCTGCTGAGCCTTGAAGTATGACTTTGCCGAGTAAAGGAGTGGCAGAGTGGCAGAGAGGCCAGGCCAGGCCCAAGGACCTGATTGCAGGGCTAGGAGGTGCATCTGTGCAGGAGCCCTGGGCAGGGGGATGGCCCTATGTGACTGCACCAGAGGGAAGGAGCTGGGGCTGGCTGGCCTTTTGCAGGTGGAATTTCCAGAGGCCCGGATCTTTGAGGAGACCTTGAACATCCTGATCTACGAGACTCCCCGGGGCCCAGACCCAGCCCTCCTGGAGGCCACAGGAGGAGCAGCTGGAGCTGGTGGGGCCGGCCGCGGGGAGGATGAAGAGAACCGAGAGCACCGTGTCCGCAGGATCCATGTCCGGCGCCACATCACCCATGATGAGCGCCCTCATGGGCAACAAATTGTCTTCAAGGACTGACCTCTGACCCTCCCCCTGCCTTCCTACTGCCTTGGGACCCAGTCTCCCTCTCTTTCTCTCCCCTTCCCAGACCTTTGCCCCGGCTCTGCTGGTCAAGTCGTGGGTCCTTCTCTGTCCCTTCATTGCATGGCACAGCTCACTTTGGCCCTTCTCCATCCATCTTGACCCCATTGCTAACAACATGGTACATTCCGGCCCCTGCTGCTCAGAGCCTTCCGAAGCCAACACTTGTCCCCATCCTGTGTCCTTCCCTCTCCAGCTGGTTGAGGGGGATTTAGAATTCCCTTTCTCTTTTCTCAGTGCATCTTCCATGCCAAAGTGTCCGGCCTGCCTTTCCCAACACCACCGCAGTCTGAGCCGCCTCCTGCGTTGTGCAGGGTAGTCTGCCCCGTCCTCCCCACCATCCTCCCTACCTCCTTAACTTTCTACTAGACTGGCCTGGGCCTGCCCAGCTCAGCATTCTCAGTCTGTTTCATATTATTTATTATTTTAATTTTCTATTAAATTATTGGAATAAAGTTGAGTTGAGGAACTGGTGCTGGTTCCTGGAGAGAGAGACAGGGAGATTCCTGTGTCGGGAGGTATCTAGCCAACCGTGGTGGCTCACACCTGTAATCCCAGCTACTCAGGAGGTTAAGGCAGAAGGATCACTTGAGTCCAGGAGTTCAAGACCAGCCTGGGCAACATAGAAGACCCTGACTCTACAAAAAAAAAAAAAAAAAAAAAAAGAGGAGGTACTAGTTTGGTTGTACTGGGAGGACATGAGGCCTTGCCCCAGCCTCTCCCTGGGAAGGAAGTAGTCAGGAGTTAGGAGAAGATTCAGAATTTATATTTCAGTGCTCACTAGCCAGTGCCCACCCTCCGCCCCCCCCCCACCCCCCCGCAGTATGGACTGGCTACCATGAAGCCGTCCCTGAGCGCAGCGTCTCTCCAGCCCAGGAGTGTGGGAGCACCTTCCTTCAGGGGTCTGGTGCGAAGACAAAGTCGAGGGCCTGGCGCTCGGCCCCTGCCACGTTGGGGTGCCAGAGGTCCACGATGAAGACCACTCGAGGCCCATCTTCGGGGGAGCCTAGGGCACATGGGACAGGAACAGCAGAGCCACTGACATTAGGTACTTCCACATCAGATCACTCACCAAAGACCAGAAAAGCAAACAGTAAATAAGTTGCAGGCCCTGTTCTAACTAACTCTTTATATGTATCAAATCTTTTTTCTTGAGATGGAGTCTTGCTCTGTCGCCCAGGCTGGAGTGCTATGGCATGATCTCGGCTCACTGCAACCTCCACCTCCCAGGTTCAAACAATTCTCCTGCCTCAGCCTCCCGAGTAGCTGGGATTATAGGCACATGCCACCATGCCCAGCTAATTTTTGTATTTTTAGTAGAGATGAGGTTTCACCATGGCCAGGCTGGTCTCGAACTCCTGACCTCAGGTGATCCACCCGCCTCAGCCTCCCAAAGTGCTGGGATTATAGGCGTGAGCTACCTCGCCCAGCTGTTAGGTATCAACTCTTAATCATCAAAACAAACTATGTTGTATTACCATAATTAACCCCATTTTATACAAAACAGCAGAGGCATAAGGAGGTTAAGTCACTTGCCCAAGTGCAAGAGGTAGAACAGGAACCCAGAGTCTTGTGCTAGTAACCGCTTTTCTGTGCACTTAACATTATTTAATCCTTGCAGTCACTTCATAAAGAAGGTGAGGACCCGAGGGGATTGGAGAAGTTCTGTGACTTGTTCAAGGTCATGCAGCTGGAAGATGGTGGTGGTAGGACAGGAAGTCTGTTGGGCCTGATTCTGTGGCCCTCTAGTCTACGCTCCTTTGCTCCTGAGACCCTCACCGCCCCCCTGTAGAATGGGCACCCTGTTACCATTGTGAGCCACTGTGTGCAGAAAAGAGTCGTCCACCAGTAGACAGTGCCCCTCAGCCCAGCACTGGGGCTCACCGCCAACCACCAGCTCACAGCCAGGAGGGATCTTCAGGCCTGTAAGAAGAGACCCGGGCATCCAGCACTCCTGCCTCCAACCCAGGGGCCCGTCCTGGCCAGTCAGCAGCTCTAAGGGTCTTAAATGCCAGGTTTTGTGGTCGTCCCTCCTTTCTTTCCAGAAGGCGGCCACAGTATAATCACAATACAGTCCTGGAGGAGGAGGTGCTAGGAGACTGGGGAAATGCTGCCATGGGTAGTGTGACCCCATCTGTTTTTTTTGAGACAGAGTCTCACTCTGTCACCCAGGCTGGAGTGTGGTGGTGTGATCTCAGTTCGCTGCAACTTCTGCCTCCCAGGTTCAAGTGTTTCTTGTGCCTCAGCCTCCTGAGTAAACTGCTGGGATTACAGGCATGCGCCACAATGCAGGGCTAATTTTTTTTTTTTTTTTTTGAGATGGAGTCTCACTCTGTCGCCAGGTTGGAGTGCAGTGGTGTAATCTCGACTCAATGCAACCTCTGCCTCGGGTTCAGGCAATTCTCCTGCCTCAGCCTCCAGAGTAGCTGGGATTACAGGTGCGCACCACCACGCCTGGCTAATTTTTGTATTTGCAATAGAGACATGGGGCTTCGCCATGTTGGCTAGGCTGGTCTCAAACCCTTGAGCTCAAGTGATCTGCCCACCTCAGCCTCCCAGAGTGCTGGAATTACAGGTGTGAGCCACTGTGCCTGGCCAGACCCATCATTTTATTTTATTTTATTTTATACAGACAGCACTGGTCTTGAACTCCTGGCCTCAAGCAGTCCTCCTGCCTTGGCCTCCCAAAGTGCTGGTATTTGAGGGATGAGCCGCAGTGCCTGGCTGCAACCCCTCATTTTAGAGAAAAGAGAAGGCTTCCTGGAGGAAATGATGTTTCCTCCTGGGTTTTCTGACAGTTTGACTCAAGAGCTTACTGTGTGATAGGCTCTGTCTCCCCACAAGGTATAAGATTAAAGACAATCCTGGCCCAAGGACCACATGGCTGAGTGTGGTGAGGAAAGTGAGCAGCCAACTCAAATGATGGGGCAACAGGAAGACATCCCAGAGGAGGTGTGGCACTTGAACATTTGAATCCTGGCAACTGAATGGGAGTTTGTCAAGAGGTGGTAAGGGGGAAGGGGATTCTAGGTTGAAAAGAACAGCATGTGTGGCATCTGCTAGGATTAGCCAGAAGGCTTTCATGATTTAGAGCACAGAGAGAGGGGAGGAGAGGAAGGATCTGGAACTGATCCTGAGGTCAGTGTGCCCTGAAGTGTAGGACACATCCAGCTGGCAGCGCAGGGGATTATTTAGGGCAAAACAAGGTCATGGCATCAAATAACAGAAAATTATTTCCTTTTCCAGAGTCTTTAAAGCATCAAAAAGTGCCAGGTGCAGTGACTCACACCTGTAATCTCAGCACTTTGGGAGCCCAAGGCAGGAGGATCACTTGAGCCCAGGAGTTTGGGTCCAGCCTGTCTTTACACAAATTTTTAAAAAATTAGCTGAGCATGGTGGTAGGCACCTGTGGTCCCAGCTACTCAGGAGGCTGAGTCAAGAGGATCACTTGAACCCAGGAGGTCAAGGCTATAGTGAGCCACGTCTGTGCCACTGCACACTCCAGCCTGGGCAACAGAGTGAGACCCTGTCTCAAAAAACAAAAAAAAAAAAGTTTGGTGCTACTGTAACTTGACACCCCCCTAACATTGCTCCCTTTTAAAATATACAGTGTAGGCTTCAGGCTTAGAGAGAGTAGAGCACTTGACTAGAATGTTCTAGACTGTTTAAAGCTTTTTTTTTCTTTTTTTCTTTTTTAAGGCGGAGCCTCGATCTGTCACCCAGGCTGGAGTGCAGTGGCAGGACCTTGGCTCACTGCAAACTCTGCTTCCCGGGTTCAAGCGATTCTCTGCTTCAGCTTCCTGAGTAGCTGGGATTACAGGCACATACCACGATACCTGGCTGATTTTTGTATTTTTAGTAGAGATGGGGTTTCACCATCTTAACCAGGCTGGTCTTGAACTCCTAACCTTGTAATCCAACCACCTTGGGGCCTCCGAAAGTACTAGGATTACAGGAATGAGCCACCATAGCCAGCATTTTTTTTTTTTTTTTTGAGACAAAGTTTCACTCTTGCCCAGGCTGGAGTGCAATGGCCCGATCTCAGCTCACCAAAACCTGTGCCTCCCAGGTTCAGGCAATTCTGCCTCAGCCTCCCAAGTAGCTGGGATTGCAGGCATGCACCACTATGCCTGGCTATTTTTTTTTTTTTTTTTTTTAGTAGAGACGAGGTTTCTCCATGTTGGTCAGGCTGTTCTTGAACTCCCCAATTTCTTTTAGGCCAGGTGCAGTGGCTCACACCTGTAATCCCAGCACTGTGAAAGGCCAAGGCGGGTGCGTCATGAGGTCAGAAGTTCGAGATCAGTTTAACCAACATGGGGAAACCCCGTCTCTATGAAAAACACAAAATTAGCTGAGCGCAGTGGCACACGCCTGTAATCCCAGCTACTCAGGAGGCTGAGGCAGGAGAATCGCTTAAACCCGGGAGGCTGAGGTTGCAGTGAGCCGAGATGGTGCACTACACTCCAGCATGGGTGACAGAGCAAGACTGTCTCAAAAAAAAAAAAAACAAAAAAAACAAAAAACTTTCAAATAAGCAAGTAAAACAAAAGGTCGGGGGATAGCCAAGGTGAAGAAATGTAGGACAGGTGGCAAGGACCACGGCAAAGCCTATGAAGATGGTGTGCAGATAACAGAGGCTCAGGAAATGCTGCCTTGGGCGGCAATGGGGAGCCATGGAAGAAGAGAGTGAGAACCAGAGAGCAGACAGCTCTGTGTGGAGAGGAGGGTTTGGGGGGAAAATCATGGAGGCAAAAAGGTGGTCAGTAGGCGGCAGCTACTTACCCAGATGGCATCTGACCCGGGCATTGGTGGGCCCGCAGCGGCCCTCTAGCCGGGCCCCAGGCAGGAGGACGGAAAAGCCGGCGTTGCCGAAGGTGTTGGCACTCATAAAGCTTCGAAGTCCCCTCAGTGCCCGATAGGCCCCTGGGCACCGGCGGCAGTTGCTGGGTTGGCACCGGCCTGCTTGGTACAGCAAGAGCTGGTAGCACCCGGGGGCCAGAGGTGGGGACCAGCCCCGAGGCGGAGGGGTAGTCCCTGAGAAGTCCCAGCTCACAGCCCCGAAGTCTCGCAAAATGGCAGGAAAGCTGCTCTCCAGGAGCTCCACGTCGTGCCGCTGGGCGTCCCGCGGCACAAAGGGGGCTGAAGGCAGGTCTGGCAGGAAAAGCAGGCCTGGGCGCTGAATGCCTAGGACCCCTGGCCCTCCCCCGGGGCCTGGGCCACCCTGAGCTGCCCGCCTCACTCTACCCATCCCAGCCCAGGAGTAGCGCCGGGCGTAGGCCCGAAGCCGCCGGCTCACTAGGCCTTCTGTCCTAGGTCCTTCCCCGGGCTCCCCAGGACCCCTTGGGCTTGGCCCGCCAGCCTCCGAGCATCCCACAGGCCCACCACGAACACCCCCAGCCCGGCTCCCAGCCCCCAGGGCCTGCATGTCTTGGGAACCCAGGCGGTAGCAGTACCAGAGGAACAGAGAAGTGAGGGCCCCAAGGAGCAAGGTGAGGGCCGAGGAGGCCAGAGGCAGTGGCCACGGGAGCATTGTCAGGGAGGCCCTGGCCAAGAGGCCTGGAGCGTCCTCCAGACCCCAGTTCCTCTGTCCTCCCAGGTCCCCACCTGTGCCTTCCATGGCTGTCCCCTGGCTCCCCGCTGGGCTGTTTCCCTTCCACCTTCCACTCTGGGCTCTCTCCTTCCGCGGTCCTCTCTCCTCTCTCCACTCTGAAGCTCCTTCTCCCCTCCTTCATGCACCTCCTAACCCTCCGCTCCCTTTCTCTCCTCTCTTCTCTCTCCTTCTACCTCTTCCTCCTCTCCCTCTGTCGCCTCCTCTCCCTCTTCTTTTTCCTTTCAGCAGCCTCCTCTCTCTCCCTCTGCTTCTCTCTCCCTTCTCAGTCTCCCCTTTTCCTTCTCCCCCCACCCGCCCCCGCTTTTCGTTCGCTCTCTCCCTCCCCGCTTCCTCCTAGCTCCCCTGGGCAGCTGTTCCTACCCCTCCTGGACCTGCAGCCCCGAAAACCCGCAGCCTGTCTTCCTCCGTGGCAGCTTCTTTCTTTCCTGCCTCCCTGCTTCTTTCTCTCCTGCCCTCTCCTTGCCCTCGCTCCTCACTTGTCCCGACCCTGCGGTCCTGCCTGGCTCTCGCTCCCTCTCTCCTACTCGCTCCTTCCTTGGCTCCCACTCACCCTGACGTCACTCCTTCCCGGAGCCCTCTCAGCTCAGCCACCCCCGACCCCTCCCAGTGGCGCTGCAAGTCAGCCGGGGGCCGGGGGGGGGGAGAGTCGTCTCAGGTTGTGTCTCCAGCCCCCCCAGCCCGGAAAGGGCGCCACGTGGGGCGCAGGGGCCACGGTGCCATCCTCCAGCCGCCCCGCAGTGCGAAAGAAGGGGCGGGGCCCGTGGGGCGGGGCGAGCTCGGGCTGACAGCCGGGCAAGCGCCCGGGACTGCGGGCAAGGACGCCAAGTCCAGTCCGTCGGGCAGCCGGTCCCTCGGTCGATCGGCCTGTGACTCCCGCTGGCCCTGGGCCAGTCCGGGAGCCCGCGAGCCCGGCGGACACCGAAAGCGGCCTCAGCCAATCGTGGGCGGCGCCGGGCCGGACCCGCCCCGGCTGGGCGAGGGGAGCTGTCCGCGCGCCGCTGGTGCTGAAAAGAGTGCTCGAGAGGGAAAATCAGAGCCGAGGCCGCCTGTTAGCTGGCCCGCGTCACGGTGTATGGAAGAGGAGGGGTCTAACTCTCCTTCCCAAACCCCGGACAGTCACCCACGAGACTTCTCACAATCGTTGAAGCTGGCCATTTTCCTGGGGGAAGGAGAGCCCATTCCACCCGAGCTGCTATAAAAGGCGAAGGGAAGCCCCGTGGGGAGTCTGGATGTGAACAGGGGGCATAATGGGGGGCCGAGCAGGGGCGAACCAAGCTTTGCAGCCCCTCGGAGCCCTGGGAAGAAGAGATTCAGATTCCAGATGTGCTGGAATGGCAGGGGGAGGGGGCTAATTACTGCTGGGACCAGAGAGTTTCCTTTGCCTCCCCTAGGGGCCGCGGGAGTGAGGATTACAGCCCTGGCTCGTGTGATCCCTCCCTCCTCCATCTGCACTTCCTCCTCCTCCCTCCCCGTCAAATAAATCCCAGGCCCCTCCCTTCGCCCGTCCCCAGGATCTGACGTGGGCTCGATACCTTTCTCAGCTTCTCCCTCCCTCAGCTCCAGTGCCCGAGCCTCGGCTCTCCCAGTTCCCCAACCCACCCCTTCCCTTCCCCGACAAGCCCCGCTAGAGCCCAGTGGGGACCCCCCCAATCCTCGACCCCACCCTAGGCCCCCAGAAGCTGCCTTCCTCTTCCTCAGTCCCCTAGCTTGGGGTCCAGCCAGCCCGGTGGACCCAGGCGCCTGAACAGGAGGGTAACCCAGGCCACCCGGCCCCTTCGGCCCTCTCAGCCCCACCCCCTGCAGCCGGAGCCGCGCCCCCTCTACCACAGAGCCTGGAGCAGAGGACAGAGGAGACTGAGCAAAGGGGGGTGGGCTCCAGGCGACCCCTGCCCAATTCGGCCCCTCCATCCCAAGGGGCAGAGAAATTGTCTTTCTTTGCTGACTCCTACCGAGGGGGGGAAAAAGATTTAAAGGGAAAGATAGAAGGAGACGGAGGAAAGGTGGCAGCCACATTACTTAGGCACAGAGGAGAGAGATCGGGGTGAGTCGCCATGGGGACTCCCAGGGTCCAGCACCCGCCGCCTCCCCAGCTGCTGTTCCTAATTCTGCTGAGCTGTCCCTGGATCCAGGGTAAGGACATGAGAGTGTGGGGGTGGGCCCCAGGAAGGCACCCAGCGGGGTCCTCCACCCTCCTTTCTCTTAACATCCTGGGTCTTCCGAGCTCATGGGGGAGGGGAGAGGCACAGCTGCTGGGAAAGGGGCAAGCCAGAGATTTCTGGCTTGAACCCGAAGCCCCTTAACCCTCAATAGTGAGAAGCCAGGGAAATTAATGAGATAAGCTGTTAGTAGCGTCTCAGGGGCTAGATCCATGAAGGAGGGCTGGGAAAGTTGGGGGGATGTCTGCGGAGGTGGCAGAAGCACGGAGGGACCTGGGTGGGAGATGGAGGTGCTGAGAGAGATGCCAGGCTCTGCACACACAAATGTTCTTGGATGTACGGACAAAGACAGATTAGCAGAGGCAGCGCTCAGAGGCCAGATATTCAGTCCTCCACTCTGAACCCCAGTGAGACTCCAGGGAAGGAGGCAGAGACTGCAGAGGACCAGAGAGAGACAGAGTGAGGGGGTGGGGTGGGAGAGAGAAAAGACAGCCACACTGCAGAGACAGAAGCCCAGAGAGAAAGCCGGGCACTGCGGAAGCAAGGGCTGGGAGGTGCTGCCAGACCCTCTGCAGAGCCCCAGGGCTTGGGGGAGATCACCACTGAGGTGAAAGGGAAGGCAGTACCAGCACCCCTTCTGCCTTGCTGGTGCTGTCCAGGGTTCATAAGCGCTAAGGTGTTCACTAAAGGCTCACCCAGCCCCAGGAGAGGGGAGGGGAGAGAAGAGATGTGGGAGTGTGAGAGTGAGGGCAGCTGGGAGCCCCTCCTCCGATCTTGGCTCTCAGCTGAGCCTGGGACCCTCTGAGCCCCTGCAGGCCCAGTTGATGGAGGAGGGAGGGAGAGTTCTAGAAAAGATCTCTCTGGAGAAGGAAGGGATGTGGGGGAGTGGAAAAGCTCACACAACTTCTCCTCCTAGGTCTGCCCCTGAAGGAGGAGGAGATATTGCCAGAGCCTGGAAGTGAGACCCCCACGGTGGCCTCCGAGGCCCTGGCTGAACTGCTCCATGGGGCCCTGCTGAGGAAGGGACCAGAGATGGGCTACCTGCCGGGTGAGGGCCCCAGAGTGGCAGGAGTGGCCTAGAGGTGGAGGGAGGGACATGGGTTCAGGGAGATGGCGAGCCAGGCTGGAGAAGAGCAGGCAGAGAGAGACTGCAGAGGAGGCAAGAGCCTGCAGGAAGGCCGGTAAGATTCAGGGGACACAGAACGAGACCGTCAGAGAAAGTCAAACCTGGGCACAGACAGAACCAGAGAAGCAGAGACAGAATGATTCAGAGATGGTCAGACAGAAAAACAGACACATAGAAAGGGAGATGGAAAATGAGAACCAGAGTCAGGGAAATGGTGGAAGACAGAGGGAGAGAGAATGAAACACAAAAACTAGTGGATCTTGAATCATGAAATCAGACTGCAATCAGAATACTAAACAGGGAAACGAGGAAATAAAGAGTTCCAGAGAGAGTGAGACAGAGGAGAGAGGAGATAACCAGAGAGAGAGCCCGATCTGAATGATCTGACCAGGGGGCAGAGAGAGGCTCATGGAGAGAAGCATCAGGGTGGAAGGGGCTGGGTGGAGAGAAGGGATGGAAATAGAAACAGGGGGAACTCGGGCTGTGGAAGCCTTGGGAGGATGTGAGGGGTTGGGGTGGGGAAGGGAAAAGTGGGGTGCTGTACCTTGTAGGGGAGGCTTTGGGGGTACGGCAGGGGAACCCCTAGTTTCCCTTAGCCCTGCTCCCCACCCAAGGTCCTCCATGTGCTCCTCCTGTGCTCTGACGTTCCCTCCACTGTCCCAGGATCTGAACTGGACCCCACACTAGCCACCCCTCCGGCCGGCCAGACTCTCGCGGTGCCCTCCCTGCCACGGGCCACTGAGCCAGGGACAGGGCCTCTGACAACTGCCGTCACCCCTAAGGGAGTCAGGGGGGCCGGACCCACCGCACCAGAGCTGCTGACTCCACCACCAGGAACCACAGCCCCGCCCCCACCCAGCTCTGCCTCCCCAGGGCCTCCCCTTGGGCCTGTGGGAGGAGAGGAGGAGACCACAACCACCATCATCACCACGACAACTGTTACCACTACAGTGACCAGCCCAGGTGAGGCAACAGCAAGGGGATGGGGGTGGGAGCACCAGTGAGGTACATGCTAGGGAAGGATGGGAGAGAGGCTGCTGGAACTGTGGAAGGAGTCCTGGGTACAGACGGGAGGACTTCTGATTAATAATAACAAAGGAAGCATTTCTGTACCCTTACTACATAGCAGACAGCGTTCCATGTGTTTCAGCTATATTACAGTTGGGGAAGGGAGTTCTGGCTCAGGTGGGAGAGGGAGCATTGCTTAAAGATGGTGAGGGGGTGCAGCAGCACACACCTGTAATCCCAGTGCTTTGGGAGGCTGAGGCAGGAGGATTGCTTGAGGCAGGTGTGAGTCCAGCCTGGGAAACATGGCAAGACTCCATCTCTACAAACAATTTTAAAAATTGGCTCAGCGTGGTGACGCGCACTTGTGGTCCCAGCTACTCAGGAGGCTGAGGCGGGAGGATCAGTTGAGCCCAGGAGTTTGAGACTGCAATGAGCCATGATTGCCTCACTGCACTCTAGTCTGGGTGACAGAACAAGACCTTGTCTCAAAACAAAACAAAAAATGGTGAGAGATGCTGAGGGGAAGGCAGATGAAGGCCTTCAGAGTTGCTTGGCTGGGAGGGCAAGAGCTTCCTTCCATCCCGGCCATTTGTATCTCCTCAGTTCTGTGTAATAACAACATCTCCGAGGGCGAAGGGTATGTGGAGTCTCCAGATCTGGGGAGCCCCGCCAGCCGCACCCTGGGACTCCTCGACTGCACTTACAGCATCCATGTCTACCCTGGCTACGGCATTGAGATCCAGGTAACTGGACCAAAGCATGTGACTGTGTGGCTTCCAAGCCTTTTCCTCTGGGCCTGTGGGTATGCACAGGTTTGGCCTGGGAGCCAAAGGACCTGTTTGATGATTCAGGTGACCTCAGAAACTCTTCTAGATTTCTACAACTTGGGCAGCAGCACGGTGCCGTTTGGCTGCTACACACAGGGCAAAGGCACAGGAGAGGGGCTTCAAAGGCAGACCCCTGGCTGACTTGCCCTGGTGGGTCTGTCTCTGGCTTCTCTAGGTGCAGACACTGAACCTGTCGCAGGAGGAGGAGCTCCTGGTGCTGGCTGGTGGGGGATCCCCAGGCCTGGCCCCCCGACTCCTGGCCAACTCGTCCATGCTTGGAGAAGGACAAGTTCTTCGGAGCCCAACCAACCGGCTGCTTCTGCACTTCCAGAGCCCACGGGTCCCAAGGGGCGGTGGCTTCAGGATCCACTATCAGGGTGAGGAGTTTGAGGGTGCTGCTGGAAGGGCAGGGGCCATACTGCACACAGGGGACATCTCCAAGGACCACGGAAGCACGGGGTGCTGAGGGGAGCTTTTCCTCATTTCTGCAACCCTGGGGGGCAGGGCCCTCAGAGGAGACCCAGGCACATTTATCTCACACACTCACAGATCCGTGCACATGTCCAAGGGGCAATTCATCCACTGAACCCAACA